GATTCTCCTCACCTGTGTCCGTTTTGTTCTGTTTTTATTTTTAGGACCGACTTGCAATTCCAAGCGAAGCAGAATAAATCTGAATTTATGAAAACTAATGCACGTTGAATCCTTTCTCTTTTCTTTGATTATGAATTTTACCTGAAGCTCTCTTGTAAACTCGAATGGTTGCTATGCCCAATGGTGAAAACCATGGTAATCGATCTTAGCTTAAAACCTGCGAGTGATAATTTGACGTTCTAATCGGAACCATTATCAATGATGTGACTGAATAAAATTCTTAGTAATTCTGATGACAGGATACGACCAGAGACTTAAAAAACTGAAAATTAACCCCATCGTTATTGGAAATTTTAAGTTAAACACAGCTTTTTTTGGTTCTAATATTTTACTTAGAGACCTTAGTAAGATTTTCTCAATGAAGTCACTTAGGTGATAAAACATTGTATCGCAGCAAAGGAAAAACTGTAAATTGTATCATACAATTTTTCATGCACAAGTGAAAGTTCCACTTGTGCATGTCAACGGGGGAGAAAAAAGTATAAGATAGGATTACAAAATGACACCGCAAGACCAGAACATTTCACGAATCATGAGACGCTTAAATCTTCGCGAATACACCATGGAATCAAACAGGAAACTGCGGCGATATTTAAGAATTAAGTATATTTTGACCGGCATTGCTTTCAAAAAGCACTTTAGAGGCAAAGAGGAGGGAGAGAATAGACGCGATTAAAACAACCGAATGAAAACAAACTGAAACATTCAAGCTTACTGTAAATCAGTGTGCGAAATGCAACGTTTATTTACTTTTGTAAAATCTTGCTAAATATCAAGTTTTTCTCCGTTTAAGTACCTTTTGAACCCTCATAACTACGGGTTTTAATCCTTCTTATTTTTTTTTCATCAGATGTAACATGATCATGATGTGTCTGAAGGTTACTGACGTTTGTTACTCTTGCTCGACGTTCATGTAAAATTAAAAGCCATCGCTGAAGACTTGTATGCATAAAACTGAACATTACCAGAAGGTGATTAATTGACTATTTACACTCGAATCTCAATTCAAAAAAGGGAGATATTTCAAATCAATGACACAATTTAAACGACAATAAACTTATTATGAAGGAGTAGGCGGTGCTGGTAAAATAGGTTTTTTTTGGTTCATATGTTACGGAGGTTTCCTGTTTTACTTCGCTAACACCTTCCTATCGTTTCCATGACTATGACATAATTGGTTTGAAGTTGACAGCACAGCCAAGGTCAAAGAAAAATTTCCATAAAATTCGAATCTAATGCAATAGTAATAAAACAAAGCTGAATTAAGTACATGTCTTCGACAGACAATTTCCGTATATCTTCAAAAATTCTCAATTCAACCTTGCTAATTTTAATTTGCTCTTTTTTCGTTCAGTTTAACTTCGGTCACACCTGACATGAAGAAGCATCCCTTATTTAGTGTACCCTCCACTACAGATTCCAAAGAGTCTCCGACATGCATTATCGTGATAGTCTGTTCTCAGCGAATTAACGGGAAGAGTCTACCGACCATTTCATCTCAGAACATTTGAGGGCGGCATTTAATTTGAGAGGAAAAAAAGCGGAGAAAGTAGGTGGGTACAAATGAAATAAAATACCCTCATGACTTCATATGAAATTTTTCTCTTGACCGGATTATTTAATGCTGTAATTTCTTTAACAAAGTGATGCACCGTCCATTTGAAAAATTTTGAAAAAGACTTGTAACCACCAAAACAGTTCAAACAATAATGCCTTCCAACGCAAATCTCCTGTCTTCTGATTAAATTGTTCCTTAACATTTATTCGTATAACCTCCATTAGAACAACAATGATTTGAAAATAAAATGCAAAATAGTTTGTTTTTTCTGAGAGAGATTCACTGCGCAAATTTCATGGCGTTAGTACGGCCTTAGGAGTCCAGGGAGAGCATAACTCTTACTAAAGATAGCGGGCCGTTTATTTAATAAAGTGGATCAATTGGGAGGACTTTTGTGAAGATCACGACTTTATTTCGGTTTCCTGGAATAACAGGATTATTGGCTCTTAGAAAAATCAAGCATGCCCTACTTATATTATGCACAGTATATCAGTGGGTTCACCAATGGTGTGACTTTTAAATTTTTTTTTTTTTTTACCTTTCTATTAATGTTATGGGGACAAAGCTTCTCTATCACGGACGTTTCTGTCGGGGTTTAACTTTTTGAGACGAGGAGAGGAGGAGGTGGGGGGAACCGTTATCGTTTGTGGTTTGAATTAAACATCTTGGCCATTTATTTTTCGTCAACATATCCACATTCCACGAGTGCCTAGATGCACCTCAAATATTTGTAAAAAACGAACCCCAAATTTGATTTGGAGGGCTGCTTAAACAGTCATAGTAAGTAAATGAAAAATTGTCATGCGCTTATACGCTACACCGGATGAGTAGTAAACAGAGCTATTCTTACCGGCCGCTGTGTACACGCACAGCATCACTGTAAATTATCTCTTGCGTAAGGAGAGATGCCTCATACGGGTAGAGATGTCTGTTCAAAAGCGCAAATTGATAGATGCAGACATATCCTGATAATCAGTTTCAGGAACTGAAATATTTAGATGTTTTTGTCGGGTCAGGTACCACTGTGCTCCATTCTTATCTTAATTTAATCCAGTAAATTACTGCATTCATGATTATTCATACATAAAAAGGAAAAAACAGTTATTACAGTTCGGGTAAAAGTTCTGAAGAAACCCGCCATCCTTATCGTGCGTGACAGTTCACTTGAAGCGGCGTAACATCTTCACAGCTGTTGTAATATGTTTTTCACATCTTGCTTGGGGCGTGACCATGTGACTGTTTCTCCTTGCTTTATTGATATTTTGCCTTCCCCATACCTGCTTCCAAAGATTGAGAGTTCTTTTAAGGTAATCTCGCCTGAAGGAGATAAAGACAATAACCAAACCTGAAATTGTCTTATGATACCTGGTGGTACAATCTAAGTTATCTGTATTCTGGTATCTTCCGCGACTTATTCCTGACCAGACCCACAACAAGATGGAATACAAAGATGAAATAAAATTATAAAATACCTCGTAAATGTCAACTGCCAGAGCTGTAAGGAACCTACCATGGTCTCAGTTGCACTACCGTTTACTCTCTCACCTCTTCGTACACGAGCAAAGAGAGCTTAAAACGACTGGGAAGGAAAATAACATCATAGAACTGGGCATCTTTTTTCAACTCTACCCGTTTTTTTTTTTCGAATACCGTATTCGCAAATTTGGGAAAACAACAGATACCGCTGTAGCTGATGACTACACTACCTTCAATGCGTAAAACTGAAATAACTTTAGTAAAGTCTATATATATAATGGCAGCCAATGCGCTTAAAAGGAAACTGTGGAGCTGGCTAGGCAGATTGCGGGCCTTGTCATCGAATATTAGTTTATTACCTGATTTGACAGTAAACGTAAACATTTCTTCTTCTTCACTGTCATCTTCGTCTCTATCATTCTCATTCACGTATGCTCCCTCAATTGTCCCCGACGCTCTGGGCGTGAAGAAAGGTAAACTAAACGGAATTGGAAACTTGGGCCAGAAAGTCAGTGATGCATTGGGAGCAAAGTACTGCTGACCTGACACTGCGAGAGGTATGTGCCATAGAACCATGTGGAAGGAATAGTGAGAAGTGGCCCAAGGCAGCCCGTCAAGTCCATAACCACTGCTTGAAATGAGGCCATGAATATTCCATTGATCATTGAGCGTGGAGCGCCAGTGATCGAGCGATTTTTTAGCGCGGTTAAGCGCAATTATGGGATCTGTGTCTTTAAATGAATAGGATATTGGTAATGGCCTTTGTCTTCTGTTATTTCTTAAAGTGTAATATTTTAGTTCATTATAGTAGGAAAGGAATTTATCCCAACAATATCAGGAGAATTAGCTTCTAGATCTTGGGAGTAAAAGGGTTTAGCGGACACCAGCTGAGCATGGATTATGTGTGTGTCCACTTCATACAGAATTCGCCGTGATTTTCTGGATAACAAAAACTAGCCGGGACCTGAAACTGACACCTAGAAGTCTCGATTTGTGATTCACTGTGCAAACCATAACATCACCGAGACACCTGTTATGAGTCTCTTTTAGAGTCTGTACCTTGCGGGTGAGACTGCAATAAATGTTTTTTGATCCTTCATTAAAATTGGAATTGAGAGGGCTGATGAAAAAGTTCGAGTTTTGGCGTTTAACTCACCTAAATGAAGCATGAGAGAGGACCAGTCGGCGTCTGCGCCCATCCAAACTGAATTATGCTTCGTTATATTCTCTAACGATTTGCATCCGGGAACGTGATGGCTTAAAATGATTGACGTGTCCTCCTGGGTGATTTCTGTTTCACCTGTATTCAAGACTTTTAGCCCAAAAGGAGAATCATTTCTCTCAACTTCGCTTAATAAATGTTCTTTCAGTTTACTGCGAGGCACCAGATCTCCCAGACCAAGGGAGTAAGCCCAGACTTGACCATATAAGGAATCTGACATGATCCACTCAGGAGAGCCATATTCCATATCCCACCAGGCATGGTAATACTGCTTGTTATCGTCCCACAGCTCAACGTCGACGCGTTTCTGTGCTTGATTAAAAGCGTGATGGATGCTAGAGGTAAACTTGGTATCGTTTTTTATCATTCCCATTTCCTGCGCGGCTCTCAAGGCCAAGAGATACACAAAGGAATTGTACGCGTCGTGGTCATATTTATCCAACGCTACGATGTCGTACGTGCTAACTTTCCGAAAAGGAAGACCAGTACCTGAGGATAAATAGAAGAATTGTTAAAGCACTTCTCAAATGACTTTCTAAATCTGATCCGATCTTACATTGACTTCGCTCTCGTTTGCTCTGTTAGTGGTCTGAAAGACTCTCGCCGCCTTCCCGGTCAATGAGCAGAAATAAAGCCAATCGCATCGTGTTCAATTGTAGGTAACTTGGTAATATCAACTAAAGTGAAATTGTAAAAATTGGCCACCGTAAAGAGTTAAAAAGCTGACGTTTCGAGCGTTAGCCCTTCGTCCTTCGCTCTGACGAAGGGCTAACGCTCGAAATGTCAGCTTTTTAACTCTTTACGGTGGCCAATTTACAATTTCAACTTGGTTGATATTACCAAATTACCTTGTTACCCCCACCGACGCAGCATCACAGTTTCTTTAGAAACTTACCCCCATTATTCATGTTCAATTATAGTTTCCCTTCCTTTGATCGTTTGCCTGTTATAATTTAGAGATCTAACTTGCTCTATTTTTTTTTTTAATTTGTTGAATTGCTTCTTTTGATCACCTTGGTTTCTGTTTTGTGATAACAATTTATATCTTATGTGATGCGGGAAGGATTTCTTTCAGAATAATTGAATTAATTTGCATTTAAAAATCAGATATGAGAGATATATTCAGGGTTTTTCGATAAGCTGATTGTATTCTACTCAGTGTGTTCGTTGAGTCATTTCAAATCATACGTTATGGATTGTGAAAATACCGATATGTCCAGAAACACACAACAGCATATGAATGTAATTGAGTAAACCTTTAGTGGAATCCACCATGACCCAGGCCATTGCTCTTTTAGCCGCTGGCCAAAGTCGGTCGAGTGTGGTCTGGTCACCGGTCCATTGAAAATAGTGATAAAGTCCAACCACAAACATGGCTGTTGTGTCCGCCATCACTCGGCCACCAGAGTAATCTATAGGGCAAAAGAAAAGGAGGAATCTTTGAATGAGTGTAGATGTGCATGTTCATCTACTCCCGACTCGGCTTTAACTCCTATCAATCAAGTGAAAAGGGGTAAGAACAAAAAGGGAAGTAAACGCACACTCAGAAAATGGAAAGGAGAAACTTAGTCAACCAGCTGTTCTGTGAACGCGGATACTTCATATGACACATCCATGGACTATCCCTATGAGTCATACCCTTCTCGTTGATTTCATTAATTTTATTAATGACATTTATGACGAGATTCCCCTACCCCTCTCTTACCTACCTGTGTAGCAATTTTTAATTATTAGTAAGGAGTATTATGTTGACAACACAAGTAATTTAGCAGCATTATTACCAAGCTTCCCTGTCGGTCCTAGACAACCGGAAGTAAGTGCCTCTTGTAGCATACCCGTTGAATATTGATTGTCGGCCCAAGCTGTTAGAAGTTCTCGCACTAATTCTGCAAAGTGTAGCAAAACGTAAGATAATGATTACAATAATCTCAAAATCATTTCAGTAAATTATTTCATCAGAGAGCTAACAAAAAGCAGAATTGACAGTTAAAATACCTGGGAAGAAGAGAGTGTAAGGAATAATCCGTTGCATATCATTTTGAATGGTGTCGATATCATTACAGTCAAAAGCCTCCCACTGTCGCCATCGGCCATCTTCTGCCCAGAACCCAGACCTCCAGAAGCTCATACTGTTAACAAGCAAATCTTTTAGCCAATCAGGAAGCTCATTGACTCTGTTCTCATCCGGACCTTTGGGTATATGCTTAACCTTGTCATTGATTGGTTCCTTTCTTGCAGGTGCAGACCCAACGATCGGTTCGTGCCACGAATGAATATCGACTACTGTTTGGAGCAGATCTTTGCGCATGTGCTTTGCTGCATCCTGGCTGGATTTGAACAGGGCCGAATACAGATTACCGACGTGAACCTTGGCCATATCACGGTTGGGATAAAACCACGACAAAATTAAGGTCAACGATTTCTTCTCTCCTGGCTGAAGCTGTGTCATCGCAGACGCTGCACCATGTAGCCCAGTGTTATTAACAGATGCTGTATTACCAATTATTCCTGGAAATAGAAAAAAAATAGATAAAAAAGTGAAAAGGTTTCGATCCAGATTTCAGCGTGCTCAAGATTGGGCGCAGTGAAATTTTTTCCCTTTTGTTTGAAAATAATCACAGAATCTTTTTTAATAAATAGCCAAATAAAGCCGATGTAAACATAAATCACAACCATCTACAATTTTTTGCTAACTTTACGTCGGATATAAAAAATAGCGCTGTGATGTACTTGCCTGTATTCGAAAAATTTTTCCAAATGTCTCCGAAGTCGTCAGCCACTGCAAAAGATTCCAAGCTGTCTTCGTCATCAACTGCATATAGTGTTGTGCTACCACTCTGGGGGAAAAACCCAGGCCTGTGACAAGTCAGCATGGAGTCTTTCACGGACCATTCACCCTTAAGGCCCGACACGATGCCGGTGGCCCAGGCGTGAAGCGGCATTTTGTCCTTCAACAGACACGATGTGGGTCCATTAGTTGTCCATGACATACATTTGGGCATCTTTGAGCACGCATGCGCACAGTCCGAAGGTTTTATCATTCTGGAATGAGGAAGAAAGTACGAATTGATTTTAACTTTTTTTTCAAATCTTAGGTTGCAATGCTGGATTTCAGAACGAGAAAAAGCATCCGCAGGTACAGGCCTCTTAACAAGTGAATAACTATCAGAAAAAACTTCGGTGCTCAATGACATACCTGGTGAATACAACTTCTCCATAATTATCTCCCACGCGAATTGTATCCTCCTGTTGTCCTAACGGCAAGTTAAACATGAATGACACATTCAAAGGTCTGTCAGCCTTATTACGCATGCCTAAGGTAAAGGCAACCGCAGGGACCGCAGACTTGTAACGCTTTCTCACATGAAATGATGGAAAGGCGTACAAACTCATGTCAACGTTCTCTGTTATAGAACCACCTGTGGATAAGCCAAGAAAAATAAGTTAAGTGTTCTAGCTATGGAAAACATAGAAGTAACAAAAGTTTGTTGTTGCAAGAGTTTAAACATGAATCTTACTTACCGACGCACAGATATCCTTCTTGACGAGGGTTTACTCCTGTCTTGATTAAAACACTCAAAGGGAGGAAAAAAGAAACACGGAGAAAAAAAACAGTCTACTTACCGGGGGTTAGTTTACTGACAGGATATGATCCGGAGTATGACAAACTCTCCACTCCAGGGTACCCACGAGGAGCATGGATTCTCAACAGCACTGCCTTGCTTTTATCTTTATCCACTTCTGACACTCTTACTCCAAACACAGCCAAATTAAGTGCTCCCTTGTTCAACTTAGCTGAACCTCCGGGAGACTGGTTCTCGAGCGTCCATTCATGAATCGTTCCGTCGGCGCGTAATTCAAACGAGCCCGTCCCCAGTCCCCCTAGAGGAACCGCTGATCGCATGCCAGACGGCGGATGTCTGGTGCTCTCGCGGTGCACAATTCCAGATGTACAGTGTTCTTGATCCCGGATGGGCGTAGGTATGGCACTTTTCAGCCAGCAGCAAAAAGATCCTGGTTCACAAATAATGATACGTCGTCAAGATTAAGTTGTTTCACATACAAACCAAGAACTTGGGTAGGCCTGCCAACCAGTTTCCTTCAGCTTAGTTGGTAAAACATTAGACCGCTATAGGGCTGGGTGTCCAAATTTAGTTTTTCTTAATTATCAATGATTTTAAGACATCTCCTGTCAAACAATGGTTGTCTTTAACACCCACTAAAGGCAGCCTATGATTTCTTTCTTAGAAATACCTAGCCCTTTAGGAATCGAAAAAATTGAGAGTTTTACTGAGATTTATATACTAAATAAGGCCTAAAATCACGATGAACACTTGAAATAAGCATTAAAAAAGGACCTTTTGCGAGAAACTCTAAACATCTTATCGCTGACCTTTGGGACAATTAGCTGTGCTTGCTTTCTGGAATCTCAGTGTCCAGGACTGGCAGCGCGGCTCCTGGCAGCAGTACTTCTCACAGATGTTGGCATTATTAGTCATGGTACTTCCTTTTATTGACATGACCCGGAAGCTCAAGAAAACGTCTCCTCGCAGATCTGTGCTATTCATCCACAGGGAAGAGTTACACGTGTGATAATTCTTTGGCATCTCATAGAGGTATGAATATGGTGAAAACAGATCATTGTTCCAAGAGGCACGTGTCTGAGAAAAATAAATGAAGCGCGATTTGTAAATTTTTCAGATGGTGGTTTTTCTCTGCTACACGCAAAAGAATGTGCAAATGACTACGTTTTGTGATAGGGAAACGATTCGAAAGATTTGGAGCAAATTCGTTTTTAGTTAAGAGTTGAACTTGAAAAGGTGATAAAGGGAAACTTTCAACAGGGCAAAATCACCATAAGCCGTTTGGGATAATGAAGGTACCATTAGTTGTGGGTCTATTTTAAAAATTCTTTGAGTGCCCTTGAAAGCTTGGCTTGTCAAAAGATACTTGCTAAGATGGCCCAATAAAAATATATTTCTCCTGCCTACCTTTGATACATTATATTCCTCCACGTACAGTCCACACTGTTTGAGATACACAAACCTACTCTCGTTATAAACAGTAGAAGGTCCGTTTAAAAACTTAAGTTTCTCCAGTTCTATGAGAAGTTTGTCCTTCTTAAGCCGTGGCTTAGCTGTGAGGGAAGAAAATTTTAAAACATTGCAACAGGCACCGGAGTTGCAAAAAGTGCAAGAAAATTGATGTTGTAGGAAGACAAAAGTCTTTGTATGGCAACCATAAAAAACTGTATAAGTTTTAAAAAAAAGTAACATCGGTTTTATCAACTGAGTTGATAATGTAAGTTGGCTACCGTAAAGAGTTTTAGCTTTGAATAGCTGTGAGGCAAGTGATTTTAAGCGATGTGTATAAAATGCGGGTACCGTCGTATGCACCTCCACGATTTGTGCCTCGTTTAACTCGCTTGATTATGGCTTGCTACAAGTGCAAATGAATTAAGCAATTTCTCAAAGTTGGGGAATTCAGAGTATATTCCGAATATTAATTTTTTTTTAAACAAAATATAACACGAGTAGATTCGATTGATTTCTAGGGACGCTGCGCTTACCCTTGTGAGGTTCTTTTGCCACTTCTACTTTTTCCTCACTTTTGTTATTATCCTTCAAATGCTCTTGTTTTCCTTTTAGCTTTTTGTGCTTCCTTTGACTTTGGAGCTGGGCCATTCTTGTCAAAATCAGCTCCTCTAAGGTTTTACCGATTTCTAGTTGTGTCTTATTAAGTGATACCTGTTTGTGTTCATTGAACTTAAGAGAATTGTCTTCCACACTGCTCGTTTTAGGCTTTAATTTAGCTCCATGACTGTCTCCTGCATCCTTCCCTCTATCCGACTTTGACTCAGCAAGCTTATGCGCTTTAGAAGTGTCCTTATCCTTCATGGGATCAGAATTCTCGTCTAAATTCTTTGCTAACTCTTTCATCTGTTGTCCAAGGATAGCGAGAGAATTCTGTTTCTTCCGAGCGGCCTTGTCTTTCCGACCAATTCTCTTTGTATTCATCTCTCTGAGTTTGTGCTCGGATTTTTCCACTCCCATACCCCAGGGTTTAAGATTTTTCAAGTCCTTGTTGTAACGATAGTTCTTAGCTTTCTGAAGTGTGTACAACTTTGCTTCAGTGCCATTGTGTCCTATTCCTATAACTTTATCTCTACTTTTGCGGCTTTTATGCCTCCGATGACTTCCAGGAGTTTTTCCACCATCACTCAAAGGTTTTGCTTTCTTTCGCATCTCATAATTTATAAATGCTGAGCCAGACTCATGTTTGCTAATCATATTGTAAATTTTTTTCACTTTTTCTAACTCTTCCTCTCCTTTTGGTCCTTTAGCAACCATGTCCAAGTCTTTTTTAGGAGCTGCGTATCTCCAAACTTTGTGCAAGTTGTGTTCAACTTCTTTCAACAGTTTTCTATCAATTTTGATTCCTGAACCGCTGCCACTCTCACCAAGCAACCCTGAAGAATCCGACAATCCACTGTTCTCTCCAGAGATGTCATTCTCCACCGATTCTACGAGTGCCTCTTCTTCGCTTTCTTGTAAAACACCAGATCCTGATTCATTTGTTTCGTCTGAATCGTCCTCTCCTTCACCCCACCAATCATCATGTGTCTTCTCATCAGCGTCTTCCGAACTTGATTCCCCGCTTTCACCCTTTACGGATTCCTTAGGCTTCATTCTGTGGTGATTGACTAGGTCAGATTCATGTTTTATCACCAAGTTATAAATCTCTTGCACCTTCCGCTCCTGTTCTTTACTATTTGGTCCCTTGGACATCATTCCGAGGCTCTTACTGGCCGCGGCATAGCGCCATACTTTACGTAAATTACGTTGGACCTCTTGCATGATCGTTCTGTTTATTTTACCAGACCTGTCTGCATGCTTCTTGTCAAGAATGAATCCTGAGCCTAAAGAACTTAAATCAACAGAGGAATCTTCCCCATCCTCTTGTCTTAGCTCCTCCTCTATTCTGTCATCTAATAAGCTCTCCCCACTACCAGACTGCGAACTAGATTCAAATTCAACTATATCCCTCGGACTGGCCACAGACGCCATTTCTGTTCTTTTCACTGCAGTCACTGGGTGAGTTTGAGTTTGAATTATGTCATCAGTTACGTCATCGTCCTGCTCGCTACCTGACTCACTAAGTAGGCCTCCTTCCCAATCCTCTCCGCCAGAAGACTGTTCCATTTTGAAGTTCATACTTTCAGAGCCGCGTTCATAGAAATTTCCGCTGAACAAGTTAGTTTCGCGGCTGTTTCTGACTAAAGTGCTGTTGGAACCACAATCTTCTTCGTCCTCAATCTCCTCCAACGAGCGAATTATTCTTTTAACTTGGATAGCGGACTTCTTAACAGCAGGATCTTCATAATCAATCACCGATGACGTCTTTGAGATGTTGATGAAGCGGGCGTCATTTTGCGACAAGTGGAGAATGTCACTGACTTCTCTTCGATCGGGTTCAACTGAAAACGAGAAAGAGAGAAGAGTGTTTCGTGGTCCAATCACAGAACAATTGATTTAATACTTTTCGAACTCGAGAGTTCTTTACACTCATTTAAGAAGAAAGTTTTTTGGCTCTCATAGGAGATTTTTATACCTTCATCTTCAGCGTCTTCCCTCGATGCGATATACAAGAGTCTCATGCCTTTGTTATAGCTTGCCAACCTCACTGGTTTACATAATTCACGGCTGAAACAAGACACTGAGTAACAGTGTTCACCTATCCACGCCACTAAGTCACATGACCTCTGATCACAACACCGCTGAACGCAAAGTTCGGTGTCATCTGGAGGACCAAGTCTTTTAAAATGACCAGCTTGGAGACCACCTTGAAGACGAGCATTTGGAAACGTGTAGCTTTTTGGACAGTTGAAGCGTTGGAGGGCAAACGGAGTTACTGCAGAAAAAAAAATTAAGTAAAAAATGTTTGGGTCAGTGAGTTGGAATTAAGTGCTGCAAACGACAAATGACTGATAATATATGAAAATTATACACGTGAACTGGTGGTTAAGAAATGAATATTAGAGCGATCTTCGTAGTAATGAGGACTATATAAGTAGTGGTGAAAATAAGGCCTGAAAAAAAATTTAGGCCTGTTCGGAGTATGAACCCATGACCTCTGCGATACTGGTGCAGTGCTCTACCAACTGAGCTAACAAGCCAACTGGGAGCTAGCGTCCACGCTTTGGATGTTCGTGTTTTTTTGCCTCTTATTTTATTTTAGCTCAGTACCTTTCCCTACTTCAAAAGCACTTATTGTATGGAGTGGCTTTAGACAAAGGTTACAGTGCGACAACGATATAAATAAATCACCGGAAATTGAGTTAAATGTTGAGTTACTAACAGTCTCATGTTAAAGACAGCATTTAAGCAGATACATAATTACGAGGTCTTCATTTATACTTATTTTTGATTTGCAACTTTTGGAAAATGCTTTAGAATAGACGAGCAATATTTTCATCTTCAGCGACGATGTCGAGTGGTTTTAAACCGCGCTATGTCTGTGTGGACTACAGCAGCGGAAAATATTGTTTCCAACTGGTTTGCCAAGGAAGCCATAAAGGATAAAAAGGAATCGTTTTTAAACTGTTTTAAATGTAGTTTGGTGCTCATAAAAGTTGCTCAGTTACCTTTTATTAGACAGTTTCAATGATGCCAAATTACGGCAGGCAAAAGTCAGAGCTTCTTCGATCAATTTTAAGCAATAAAATACTTACAATAACAATTATCTCTTGTTATAAACTGAAGTTTGCTTGAGTAATAAAAACCAGCACGAGCTACAGGTCTTCAGACCAAATACACATTTCCTCTTAAGAAACCCAAAAAAATGACTATCATAATTTTTTGCAGATGACGTTTCCATTGAAACTCGGTTTTAAAGGTGAAAATGTGTAACCTTTACTTACCTGGTGAGAACATCAGAATTAGGAGAAACGTAACCATGAAAATCTCGTTGGGTTGTCTCCACATTTCAAAACGTTGATTGGCAACAGTCTTTAATCTCCAAGCCTTTGTAAGATTATCAAGTTACTAGCCACGCTGTAAAATCTGTCTAATTCCCAGAAAAGTATATAAATTCTTCAGAATCTCTAAAAGCAAATATCCACGTGATTTTCTTTGTTGCTTTGCAATCAGCGTTAATCAAGTTGAGTTGAAATGGGATGCGCTCTAAAACTGCACATGACACGCAACAATGGATTATTCACTCATGATGCTGTCGAAAAGTCAATTGAATTTCCTCTAGCCAGGGATTTTCCAAAGAAATTTCATGATGAAACGAAGTTCAGAACAGCGAGAAATCAAGCGACCGAAGAATAGTTCAAAAATTCATGTCTTGAATCTAGCGGGTGGCAGCGGGTCCTTATCTTTAAGTTTTTCGCGCTTGGCAAAGAAAATTTCCTTGTTTGGTAAAAAATGATGTAAAAATGAGTTTAGAATACTTCTAATATGCTCTAGCGTCAGCTTTTGCTCCAAGAAACCTTAAGTTTATCCTGGAATTTGTTTTTTTTATTGAGTTCAACTGAGTTCACTTTGAATTCTGTTCGAGTTACTGTCGTGCAAGCTATCATAACCTGTTGAATTCAAAACATATATCAAATCACACGATACAGTCAGTCGGAAAAATCTTAAATTTAGTTTTTAGAGGTTTTCTTTTTTCTTCGCGCACCGCAGCCATAATGAGCAAAGAATCATATTTTTGACGGAGAATAAGTATTAAGTTTTGGAAACTTTGGCACCTGACCAAAATGTGTTCTTAGTCAAAAGAACACCAAATATAGGAAATCCGCGAACACTAATTAAGAGAAAGAGAATAAAGGAAAAACAGAAAGACACATATTTTAAAAGTAATATGGCCATTAAGAAGCCAAAAATAAAATTTTAACTACCCAGGCCCCTCAACCCCAAAAACGGCACTGTGGAGGGTGCACCCGACATGCAAGTCTGTCAATAGCAGTCGGCAGTCAATTAAACAGGTCACTCAGCCAGCTAGCCAGATGGTCAGACAGGATTTGGGTAGATATGGCCATGCATAGCTATGAAGGACCATGCAGTACCATGAAGGACTGTAAAGGCCGTCAGTTGATCAACCTCTTCGTCCAAAACTTGGACACTGTATGACTGTCACATTAAGTAATTTTCATTACCATCAATTGACCGCTGGTCAAATAGAAGTGTGACGTCTTTTAGACGAGGACCAAAACATCCACTTCGAACTGATGATCACAGTGGATTCGCGACTGAGCTGCGATCTGCTTCGATATGTTTGGATGCATTGTCTCTGGACGTTTAGTGAGTACCTTTTTAAATTAACTGAGAGGTTTTATTGTTGTCGAAGAACCGAAAATGTAGCAGTATTTATCTTGGTGAGCTCACTGCTTCTCGTAAATATATCGACCATGCATTATATATCTCAAGAATCTGTCATAATACGTACACGTGCTTGCTTGCTTGTTGTTGTTGATGTTTTTTAACGATCGTTTTCGAAAGAAACCATTCATTTACACCGAGAAACCTACATTTCCTTCTATATCTTGAACCTGCGTGTATAGGGCAATCGATCTCTCGGATCGTGAGGGGTTTTTTCTATTCTATTTAGTTGAAAATGCAGGTCTATATATCTTTTTTGAATTCGCTGAAAAGTTTTTAAAATGTATTGTGTGGTAATTATACAGCCCAAATATGCCTTACAATTTGGGAGTTCTTGCTTTTTTGAAATCTGAGTTGTTTGAGAAAAATAGACGAAGAATGTTGTAGTCGCAAAAGAGAGTTCCAGAACCTGAAAATTTCGAAATTTATATAATACCTTGAATATTGTGGTAGATCGTTCAGAATTAACTTGTACCATTAAACAATATTAGATTAGGAGCTTGTTATTTCTGTCACGTGTAGAAATCCATAATGAAGAAATTGATTCTACCAGTTTTCTTTAAACTTTAATACCACAGTACTGGGTCCTTTTTTTTTTTATTTCATTTTGCTTTGACAGCCATCTTTGACTTGGAGTAACTCTTATCCATCTTTTATGTTCCCTCTATTTTTCAAATGTCATAGAAGCCTCCCTTATGCATGAAACAATTTTTTGATATGTGAGTGTGGTGTATGATTTGCAATGGCATTCATGGCAGGCTTGTGTGTTTTGTATGCCTTACCATCCGTAAATAAGCACAGTGATGTCCATGTTTGCATGTCTCTTTATTTATATTCACTAAGTGTAGATTAAGAGTCAAATGTTGGAAAATTTTTCTAAATTCATTACTGAAGTTTTTGCTTCACTCAAGCCTTACCTTGTAACCTTGCAACAAGAAAACCTGATACAGTTAAAAAAAGGAATTTTGAATCTCTTTGGTTGAGATGCGATTGTGCATATATGTACATGAAAATGGATAGTAACGGCTTAACTTGCTTGTTCATCTCAGCTGAGCATCAAAGATTAACCAACTATAGCATTTGAATCTTGTTTGTAGTTTTGTCAGTTTTACAAATTATTCAGGCTGTAAATCAAGCCAACAACCAACTAGTTTCAGGAATGGTGAATTTATAAGCTAGAATATCACTTCTTTATCATGAAGCATGTGAAACTCGGGGGGCCTCCTTAAGTATACTAATACTGTGAATCCTTCAAAGAGGCTGATATGGGGAATAAAGAGTATGTATTTAAAATTTTTATTTTATTTTCTCTGGTTAGGTTCAAACAGATGCCCAACAAGTCGGACCGACCCAATTTGTTTTCAACTTAGCTGATGCTGACAGAATTCACCATGTGGTTGTCTTTTTGACGGGTGTAACACCCTTTCCAGATGGGATGGGTGGAGGAGTTTATTACTGTTATCCAACTCCTGAAGGACCAACATCACAGTTGCTTGGATTCATTGGCAACAATAAGCCAAGTGCTATATTTAAACTTGCAAAGGTGAGTTACAAATATGGTAGTGGTAAGAAAACCAAGACACAAGAGTTTATATAAAATTTTTCAAATTCTCTTGACCCATGCTTTTGCTCAAATGCAAATAATGTATCTAATAGGTGGAAGATACAGTAAACTTTATTTAACAAATGGTAAACACCACAGCATACACTATTGAGTTAGAGATGCACATGGGAGGTTGCTAAGCACTAAAGAAGGACAAGAGTGGTGCGAGGCAATAGCCGAGAGCAAGTTTAGCTTCTTGAGTGCTTAGCAATCCTCCCAAGTGCATCTAATGCTCAAAGGTGTATGCTGTGGTATTTACCATTTGCTTTACATCATAACCATGACACATTGTAGCAAAATAGTTCCCTTTTATGTAACAAATCATATGTGACCAGAAAAAACAAGTGCATGAAAACTAGTCTTTGCATTTGCTCATGTCAGCAGTGTATACCCATGGGCAAATGGTGGACACTTAATTGAACAATCAGAGCACACGCTTTCCTTTGGTTATGTTATGATGAACGGTGGATAAAAGTTTAAAATTTTAGATTTTCCTCCTGGTTAATTTTTGATAGCCTGGAAGCAAATGAAAAATTTTAGTTCCAAGCTGAAGAAAATGAATTGTAAAAATTTGTTGCGACAAAACGTAAGAGTATAAGTCTGCAAAGTCAACTCTGGACCTACAGAGCTTCCATGCTATTTGGTATGATATAAACTCACATAAATGTACACCTGTCTTAAAAAAAAAGACAAATTTGCAGCTGTAAAGCAAACGTTGTAATGTTCACTTCTTGCACCCTACCCAAGGTAGCCTATAAGCACTGCCAGTGTCACAAAGGTCCGTTTCTCCCCAAGGAGGTAAATGACTTCTAACTTTCACACTTAATTGGTGATTAATTATTTTGCTAGAAGCTGAACATAATTGTCAAACTTATTTTGCCACTTGTTTTTCAGGCAAGGCCAGAGGAAAGAGTACAGAATCCGTTTGGAATGAATGCTGGCATGGCTCTTGGTCAGGTGGGAGCTCAAATTGGCATCTCAATAGAGCCCCTGGACCAGTTAGCCCAGCAGACTCCAGCGAGTCACACAACGCCATCAAACTTGAACTCATTTGTGGAGTACACGCAAAAAATGTTGGAGAATTTCTTCAATTTTGCTTCATCGTTTGCCATTACTCAGGGGCAAATGACCCCGAACCCTTCTGAGAGTTTTGTACCTTTAAGTGTGGTACAGAAGTGGTATGAAAACTATCAGAGGAAAATGACGAATGATCCGAATTTTTGGAAACGTTAATGGACTGAATTTGGCATCATCTAGTTCTAGAAATGTAAGGCATTGTAGAGGCAGAGAGCGGGAATGGGGTTGAGGGGTTGAGGTACCCCTTAAAATAGCTTACAATAAGTGATCATGAAAGCAAAGGAAAGCTACTGTATAGCTAAAAGATAGTTAGTGGACCAGCATACGCCCTATAGTTGACAAGAGGTTTGAAATGCCAGTCATATTAGCAAAATGCAGCATGCCTACCAATCTCACTTAAAAAGAAACACTTAACGATTTTTTTAACTCGCTCGTCATTAAGTAATTTGCACCAGCGGTTGGTGCGAAACGTGGACAATTCTCGATAACATTTCAAACAATTTTTAACAAGGGAGGCCATCTTCTTTGCTGGTCTGTCAGAATTCTTGCGATGCCCAAATTAAGCTATCATTGTCACGGAATTTATTGCGTTTGTTTTGATACTACATCAGAAAAGCAAAAGGAAAGGACAGCGTAGCCGCAGCAGTGTCTTTATTTTATTGGAAGACGAACACATTCGTCTGCCCTCTATTTTCATGAACAGTCGTACCTTATGTGCTTTCTGCGGTAAACAAAACGAGCTGCCATTGGTTAAGTACTCGACACTCAATGAGTAGTAGTAAACAGAAGTTTTCTGTGGCGCAACTTTCAATTGATTGCCGTGGGTAATGCAGGACTGCTTTCGCTATGTTTTACTCTCGTCTATGATTGGTAATGAAATCTCGCCCCATCTTAGCTCTCAACCAATCAGAATAGACAGACAGTAGGGATAGACAGTTTATTTGAAAAACATTGCAACCAAAGGTTGAATTACGTATTCATTGACAAATTTAAGAAATATATAAAAATGGTAACATACTTAAAATATTAAAAATTAGGTTACATAAATAGAGTCAGCTTATACAAAGCGTGCATAAATGATGAAAGATAAAACTATCATGGCACCTGTTCGCACGAACCACAGGTAAATTAAAAGCGCGCTTTTTCCTTAAATCCACCCTGGATACATTCCTGGGCGGCAGGAGCTTATGCAGCTTGTGATTTGGTGCAAGAACGTTAGAAAAGAGCTTGTTGGAAATATTCTCGCGCCACTCATGCAACGAGATAAGCCCAGTGCACGATAGCGCCTCGTGATATTCTTTATCAGGGAAGATTATACGTCATGCGCGCTTCTGGCATCTTTCTAAATCAACTGATAAATATTGAGGTAGGCTGCTGTGAAAGAGCGCGTATGCGTATTCCAAAACGGATCTAACACATGTAAGATAGAATAAAACGAGCTCCTTAGACTTAACCTGGGCGCGCTTTAATTGGTGTAAGAAGTAAAGCCGCTTGTTGACTTTCTTTACTATCTCATCTACATGTGCGTTCCATTTGAGATCGACGGACATCTTAGCTTTATGAACGTAACGTCAGATGCAAAACCAAAAGTAATACTCGTTCACGTGTGTGTTCCCTCGCTTCAGGCTACTTTAAGTGAATTATTTCTTTTGTCTCCCCCTTGGCTTCGTGCGATATTTACCTCTGTTCCTATGAAAGTTTAATTCCTATGAGAAGTGGTTAGGGACGCAGCTGGGGACGTGGTATCCTTCTCGATCATTTCATTCGCTCTGTCGAAGAGCTGAAGCACGAAATGTGAGCTTTACAACCTCTTTAACGGTGGCTAATTTACATTATCAACTCAATCGATAAAACCAAATCATCTCGTTAAACTCTACCACCAAAGCAGCATCTTAGTTTCGTTATAAACTGTTCCCTTTATTCTTACCAAGATAGTTTTCAAATATCTGTTTTAACATATACCTGTAAGTGTAGACATTTTGGCGACTGTTTTCCAACACCTCAATGTTTATTTAAACGGACACGCATAAAACTTCTCAACTAAAAATTGCAAAACTTGGAACCTAGCGCAGCAATCTCTAAGAAAGCATAAGCTACTACTTTTCTATTTGTTTTTGTTCCTAAGACAACAGTTTAGGAATTACAACACTTAAGTTTACGTAGGTCTCAATGTCTTATTTAAACATAACTCGACAAATGTCGTTAGCGAACAAGAAGCTTTAATAGCTGCATGGTTGACCAAAGCTACAAACCTACGAATCATTGGCTCTGTTTGGGGCCAAATAAAGTAAAGAGGCAAAGTTAATTGACAAAACTTTGAACTTATTAGTCTGCATGGGTGTCCTTTATTGTCTTGACTCAAAAAGGCTGTTTGTGATATTTTCCTCCGTTCTCATTGGCCATTGTTTTTACTATGTTTTTTTCTTACACCCAATCGTAAATCTGTCTATATCTAAGAGGGAAGAAAGGTATTAGCATTGCCACTCAGTCGTACAACATGGCATGATATGTAACATCTTTATCTTGGGTTAAGATAAGATCAGCTTGGTGCTGTTTGCCTGTCGCACTGCTCAGCTCACATAGGAACTGGTCCTCGTCCTGTTTGAAGAGGTTAAATGACTGACAATTGCAAGATCGTAAACAGAGCAATGCGCAAGTGAACTCGTCCCTCACTGACTTTTGGGTAACCACATGTCCTACTAGTTTGAAGTTCTCTTGTCTCGTAAAGGTCGATTCCCCATCTGAAGAAGAAACAGGAAATTAAGTAAAATAGATGTCCTTTACAAAAGGAGAAGCTGTAAATCAACGGCAAAAAAATTATTTAATGATTGCGAAATTGAATACAAAAACGCTCCATGATACAGAATTTTACTCACGTAAACTGGAAATGCATGTAGTAGAGGGTGACACAATTTTAACGCCTTTTCGAAGCATTGGGGCGATCACGTTTTCACACCAATTGAATACATTTCCTCTGGTAAAGTCGCAGCTGCCATGTACTTTACTTATCTCTTGTGCAGTCAGTTCTCTATTCCAGATCTTCAAGTTACTCATACTTCCGTTTAAACGTTCAACGAACTCACCAGACCCATCCCTCCGAGCACCAAGCACCAAAGTTCCGCCTCCTTTGAGACCTTTATCTGGGGTTGAAATGCACCACGTCATTACAGTATTTCAGCCCCATAATGCATAGTAAAATCGTGCCTATTTAAGCCTTCATCAAATTCTTGCCCAAGGTGGAGTGTGTGAACGTAATTGCGAGCGTGCGGAGGAATGGTGACACAAAATTTAGTGTGGACCAGAAGTGGCTGGGTCGAAAAGGAATTTTTTCATCTATATCTCATCTTGACCCAGTCCTTTCTCGTTTAATGCTCTCTCTCCTCACAGAAAGAAAAAGAGATTACATTGTAACAGCAATACAGTTTGAAAGAAAAATCGTTCCTTGAGCAAGTACGTTTTGTCCGCCGTATAACCAGGAACTGACACGGGAGCTCCAGATCGAGAAGACAATTTAATTTTAGGGCGACGGTATTTTCAGTGCACTGATTAATTTACATAAACTCTTGTCCAAAAAAAAAAAATAAAAATAAACCGAAACTGAGCGCTTGAAAGATATTCTCCTCCAGAAATTCTTTATTTGCATAAATGCCGTCGGTAATTTGTGGTTACATGGTACGAATGGAAGCCAATAGTAACAGTCGATTGAGCTATCCGCCTCCCGGATAGCTCAATGGATAGAGCGCTGGACTGTTGTGCGGGAGGTCGAGGGTTCGAGCCCCGGCCGGACCAACACTCAAGGTCTTGAAATAATTGAGAAGAATTTGCTACCTTTCTATAACATCAAGAAATGATTAGATATTCTAGTCTTCTCGGACAGGGACGAGTAAATGGAGGTCCCGTCTCCTGCAGGGTTGGGGTAGGAGACGTTAATTTCCCACACACGAGATTACTGTGTGATGGATGTCCTCCCCTGTGGTGGGATGGGTGGGAAGGTGAGATCGATAGACTGAAGCGGCTGCCAGAGGCGCCTGATATGCTGACGTCTGTTCTCAACCTTACACTGCGCCCGTAATTCAGCCTCTGGGCTGCAAGTGGTCAGATATAAACTATATTCGTATATTCGATTGTGGGGTTTGATCACACGAATGAGAGAAGTCTTAGCCTGAAGACTTTAATCGGTGACACTAAATTAATGGTTTAGTTCCTGAGCAGAAATCGTCATCATCATCATCATCATCATCATCATCAGAGGCTGTTTGACAAGTTTGATGTCTCTTGACCTTGATGATGACTTCCGCTGAAGCTGTAGACACATCAGTCTCTGTCACTGACAACCGTTCGCGGTATTTCCTCAAATAGGTGCCCACGCTCTAATTAAGCGCCCACCTCCCAGGCCATGGTATCTCACAACAATATGATCATAATAGCGGTATTAGCCTGCAGTGCAGGCGGATTTCGTCGGGGCGAGTAGATATTCCTATCGGTTTTTCAGGCCGCCATCTTGAATTAGAAAAACAGTGGAGAGTTGGGGCGAGGTAAAACGTTTGGGGAAGGAGAGAGGGGGAGGGGAAAGAAAAAATGGGGAGGCCCCAACCCTCCACTGTTTTTCTAATTCAAGATGGCGGCCTGAGCATCAACTCGCCCCGCCAAAATCCGCCTGCACTGCAGGCTATAGCGGTATAGGAAACGAGTAAAGTAGTATTGATACTGAACCTCGCCATTCTATCAAGTAATTATAGGGCAGAGAATCGAGACAGTGTAAATCTGTAAGGGCATCTCACCTGCTCTGAAAGCCCGTGACGTTAGGACATGAGTACCATCAAAGTAGAAACCAGTCATAGGTATAGGAAGTGTTTGGTACCAAATGATGCAGACATGGTGCCAACTTTTATCTTCAAGTTTAAGGCTATTTGGTAACCTTAGATAGCTGGAAAGACAGTTATGAAATCAAAATTCGAACTACATAAAATGGATACAATTAAAACAACTGTGTCATTTTTGTGTATCTTAAAAAACGGTCTACCTATTCTCTTACTGCACAACCGTATCACTCTTCTGCAATCTTCTCTTGCTAATCGTCGTTTCGTTGGTTTGCCTATGGTAGCTATTTGTTTCTCTCGAAAAACAAGGTCATGACAATATGTTCCAGTAATATACAATATACCCTACCATTCCTTTCTAGAAGGAAAGCACACAGTAAGCACAACAAATATCAACTTACAGGAGGTTATTATCATCCATGTAAATATCTATCGTAATGGTTGTCCGTTTTGTCTCCAAGTGAAAAGCCTTCTTGTATTTACTGGTAGAGTAAGACAACAGAGTCGTTGTTGGCGCTAGCGGCCCTGAATATGTCATTAACTTGATCCAAAAACAGACTGTGAATGATTCCATGTCAGGAAGTAGGCTGGGCTCGACTATTGCATATCCATCCAAACTTTGTGGAAATTGCAGGTCGAATGAT